TCACGCACTTTTCTCGGTTTCTATATAATTTAATTTTATGAAAATCACCAACGTAATAACTGAGTTAATGAGTTTCGCACTTTTAGGATCGGTTTAAGATTGTAATTTTATTTCAGATTTTAGTTGATAGTTTCGGGCTATAAAGAAAATTGCAGTTTGTTAATTAATCTCTCTCGAAAAATATCTTTATTTTAAATTATAGATAGTGTGGACAAAGAATATCCATTTGAAACAAAATATTAATTAAAAATTCTATCTCTTCTTTTTTATGCCAGGTCACTCAACAGGTACCATGTAACTCATTGTCGATTAAAACAGGTACCATGTAACTCATTGTCGATTAAAACAGGTACCATGTAACTCATTGTCGATTAAAACAGGTACCATGTAACTCATTGTCGATTAAAACAGGTACCACGTAATGTATTGTAGATTAAATTTTAAAAACAAGTCCTGCCAAAGATGCAGATGAAGCTTGTAGCCTCAATGACCATCGAGTACAACGGGGTATACTTGGCCCCATAACTGTAGCCAGTGCGGTAATGACACGGCCTTGACGGACGGAGGGCTTACTAGACTGTGATCAACGGCCAGTGCTGAGGGTTTCCCTGATGGAATCAACGCCCGCATGTTCGTTACTAAAATGAGTCTTCAAGTTGAAAAACATTGGCTGTGGTTTGACCTGGAGAGGGATGGGCTCCGCCAGGTCTACTTGCCCGTGACACACACGCTACACAAGAAGGAATACTTCTCCAGCTTTCAACCCAGATATTTGGAGGGAGCTGGTCAGATGACCAGCTGCGCAGTGACCACACCGGTCATTGGATTGATGATGATGATGATGATGATGATGATGATGATGATGATGATGATTTTAATAACATACTGGCAATACCATAATTTTAATTGTATTAAAAAATATAGCGCGGTCAGTAATATACAGGCTCGATCTAACTCGTGTAATGCAAATTCTATCCACCGACAATGATAACGTTGATTAAAAACTTCGAAGACAACCCATTTCTGAGGTATGTTAGCTCCTTGAGCGCCAACCATACGGATAACTTCAGATATTAAGAGAACTGACAGATTAAAGATAATCCTTCGCGTGGGCATAATTTCACGTTACATGATATAATAATCCTCTATACTTCTCCAAGCAAATTTCAGAATAAAAGCAAGAAAAAAAATCATAGGTATCTTTAGGCTCACGTTTAAGAGTCATCAATTAAGATGGAACCCAAAATGGCCGACAGGAAGTTTAAGAAAAAAAAAAGAAAAGAAAACTATATGTTCGGAATCCATGGGGATTCGTAAAATTGCTTTTCACTCAAGCCCATCGAATTGTGATGGTAGCTGCTGATTTTTACTTGAGGCTCCTCTTGTCCTGCGTACGAAGATAAATGCGTGTCACTTGTCTTTATATCATCCAAACTTATTTCATTTTTACCAATAACTTTTACTTAAAACTTCTCTCCTCGCCTGAAGAACGTTGTGGCAATAAGAGAAATTAGATAAGTAGTAATGGTTACAGCAGCAGTAGTAGCAGCAGTATCAGTAGTAATACTAGTTGTTACACGTTTCTGTATTAATGTTCATTCTAGAGCTGTTGAATTATAATTACAAAAAATGAATACAAATTTTCCACTGATAGTTTTAATATGAAATAATTTCCATTATATATATATATATATATATATATAACATCAATATATAATATATATATATATATATATATATATATATATATATAACATCAATATATAATATATATATATATATATATATATATATATATATATATATATATATTCAGTTATAAATACAATATTCTTTACCAACGCGTTTATCAAGGTAAATGTCAAATTAATTTGATAAAGTCACTTGAGGGATGAAAAGCGTTAATAAAGAAAAGTTTTCCTTTGATATTTATTCATGTGTGTGTGTGTGTGTGTGTGTGTGTGTGAGTGTGTGAGGGGCACCTCGAGGTGGTGAATGGCTAGCAAGCTTCTCTTTCTAGAACAATTACGACTGAGTGGTGAGTTCGATCCTCATTGGGTGCCCCCTACTTTCGGTATTGTGCCACATGTAAGCTACGCTTGGGAAATTACTGTGTGTGTTTGTGTGTGTAAAATTTGAAATATAACTAAAATATATATGTGTAAAAGTATAATATGAATAAAGACAAAAGGAAAACTTATCTTAGCCGATGCATTTCGTCCTCTGATGGACTCCATCAAGACAAATATAAGGATTTTATTTATAAATAAAAGTAAATAAATTCATCAGAGGACGAAACGCATCAGCTAAGATAATTTTTTTGCCTTTATACATATATATATAGAGATGGATAGATAGATAGATAGATAGATATATAGAGAGAGAGATAGGTAAAATGAGAACAAATTGTGCATAATTCCACTGTACGTAACATTTAATTTAAAAGAGCGCTCAATACAGAGTAGAGCTAAATATTATTTATTTTAGGATATTAATATAAAAAACATGTTAAAACATGTATTACAATCACGTTTTAACACTATACATGTGTCTCCTCTAGTTTAACATCGCCCCATATCCTAAAATAATAATAACAAATAATATATATATATATATATATATATATATATATATATATATATATATATATATATATCCAAGTATAGTAGGATTGGTATATACGGAATAAATTTCAATAACCAACAATTACTATTCTTAAAAGAGTGCTCAATACAGAGTAGAGCAAATATAATCATTTATTTAAAAATTATAACATAAATATATATATATATATACAGGGTGTTTCAAAAAATTTGATATCATTTCGCAATCTAATAACTTTGTTAGATCTCCTTCAAATGACTTCAAATTTTAATAGCATCTTTATGTTTAATGTTTGTTTTATGTTTTTATGTCTTTATGTTTTTGTGTTTTTCTTATTTGTATTTTTATGTTCTTTAATCTTTAATCTTTTTCTTTCCAGGTATAAAAATGCCGTGTCTCAGGCGGTTCGCATATTGAACATTTGTGAAATCGTTTACATAATCCACATGCTTTTGAATTTCTCATTCAGATTTGGAAGAATAAATCTTATGATATTCAGCATTAATACTTTTTTTAATTTCATTTGCCTTAATCATGTACTTTCTGTGATATTTACGTCTCAAAGGATATCAAATTTTTTAATAACCCTGTATATATATATATATATATATATATATATATATATATATATATATATATATATATATACAGGGTTATTAAAAAAAAAACGGAAGATTTCTAAAATTTAATAAAAAACAAATACTATGTGACAGAAACACATTCAACACATTACCAGATAGGAAAAGTTTCAAAGTTATTAAAATAAATGGAATTTTTTTCCAGTCTTGTTTAAATACTTCATTTGTTTTTTAAGTATTTTTTTTGTTTGTTTGTTTTGTTTTGTTTTTTGTGGGTTTTTTTTTCAGATTTTCTATAAATTTAACTTGTTATATTTGTGAAAAAAGGATCTTTTTCATCGTCTGTGGCCTCCCAGGTCACAAGATGTTACCCCACGCGATTTTATCTGTTGGGGTATATAAAAGAAAGACCGTTTGTCCCATAGATGCCTGCAACTCTTGACGACTTGAGACATCGAATTGTTGAAGCTATGAAGTCAATATTCACAGATCAATTGATTCGAGTTTGACAAAAAGTGGAATACCGTTTCGATGTTTGTCGTGCAACACATGGTGTTTATTTTGAGTGTATACAAGTTGGACAACCTTAAATAATAAACTTTTCACCTTTTCCTATCCAGTAATGTGTTTTTGTCTCTTAACATTTGTTTTTATTAAATTTTAGAAATCTGCTCTCTCTTTCTTTGATTTAAATTTGTATGATAATCCGACAGAATATGACAAAAAAACTTTCATGCTGACATGTTTGACTGCTTAAACAGCCCCAAATGATTTTATTTTATAAAATTTTATAAAATCACTTTATCTGATGACGCTGTTTGTTCGGTCAAACATATCAACATAAATTTCAGCTTTCCATATTCAGCGTTTCCTCTCGGTACATAATTTTAACCGATGCTTACGCTTGTATATCTCCTTCTCAACAAATTACTTACACATATAATTCCATCACAAAAACATAACTTTTTTAAACGTATTACACAGAAATATATATATATATATATATATATATATATATATATATATAATTGGTATATATGGAATGAATTCCAATAACCAACAATTACTATTCTTAAAAGAGTGCTCAATACAAAGTAGAGCAGATATAATTATTTTTTATAAAAAAATTATAACATAAGTATAAAATTTTATAACATACTTATGTTATAATTTTTTATAAAAATAATTAATATATATATATATATATATATATATATATATATATATATATATATATATATATAAAAAATTCCTCTCTGCCGGGGAGTTGATAGTTCAAGGGAAAATTCCGACTGATGCCAAATCGGTCGGGTTTCAATCCTAGCTTGAGGCAATCGGATGTCTATACACACTGATGAGCTGTGATACAGCGAAACAGTCTGTCTGTGGATGACACACACACACACAGATACATACATACACACACACACACACACACACATATATATATATATATATATATATATATATATGTATTTGGGTACCAATTTTCATTTATACAAGTTTGATTAAATATCAACGAAAATATCTGGTTAAATGTTTTTGTTTTATATTGTCAGACAGAAAAATACATTTTTACATTGATTGACAGATACGTTATTTTTATACTGTAAGAATTATTTTCTCGGAGGGTGATAATAATGGTTTAGTGATACAAGTCTTATTAATTAACCCACAGCTGGGGGTGGGGAGAGAAGCGGTGGATTCCTACCGTTCCCAATGTTATTTTACGCGTAAGCGAATATAACGAACCCAACAGGAATTAGAACTGATTAGCAATTCCGAGCCCTTATCCATTACATGACTCGCACAGCCAAGCTTACAGCACTCGGTATTTCCAAGAAGTCACCCATCTTGGTGCTAACGAGGGTCAACGTTGCTTAACTTCGGTGATCGTATGGGAACCAATGTTTCATACAGGCCTGTTTCGCTGTATCACAGCTCATCAGAGCGGCTAAACATCCAGTTGCTTCACCGAAAACCGACCGATTTGGTATCAGTCGGAGCTTCTACACCTGAGTATGGCAGAGAGAAAGAGAAATTTTAGCGTATTATTTTTACAAATGTAAACAAATGCCAGACAGCCATGGTGTTCGATTCATTTTTAATGAAAAGCGTTGCGTTAGCGGAGATGGCTGCTGTTTAGAATTACCCTATCTCTCAACAGTGAGAGGCGTACAGGAAGTAAGAAGTGAGTATTATGAGGATATGTAAGATGTATAACAATTTACTCTAGACTTGAAGTGGTTAAGATCGTAATGATTGGAGAAGCTTCTTTTACACGAGTCTTTTCCAGAAAGTAAGTTCTGGGGGAGAAGCTCACTGAGTATAATTTCCACCTTACCAATGGAATACGAAAGGAATGAGGAAGATTCAACTTGTCTACATGTCATGGCAGTGAAGGTCTGGACAGGTAGAATTAATATTTGTCATGAAATTACCGACAGAGTAGCGGGAGGCTAGCTACATTTTAAGAGAAATTAAGATAAACTGCCAATTTTTTTATATGCATTTTTCTATTTCTGTATGTGCTGCCTCCCTTCAGGACCGTGACGATCATGGATCTCCACAATTTGTTGGTATGTGATAGATACCAGTTTGGAATGAGAAATCGGAAAGTCGAGTTCGAATTCCAGTCAGGTTCGTTAGATTCAGTTACCCTTGTGAAGGTTATGTATCCATCTCAAAGGTTGATAAACCGTAAAAAAACAAATCACTCAATTAATTGGTAACCTCCTCCACCTCCAGAGAAAAGTCATATCGCCTTTCAAATATCCAAATCTAGAATCTATCTACTACTGTGACATCCAGGTTAAATAGTAAACAATGACGAGCATTCGATTTAGTTAAACATCTCTTCCTCTTTTTCTATGTGTCGTGTCCCTTCAGAATGTTGGCGGTCGTGGCTCTCTACAATTTCCTGTCCTTTGTAGCTATTAATAAATTTTGTCTTTTTGCTATCACTCCCAAGCCCTGCTCCGCCATCAATTCACTGAAGGTCGCCAGGTAGGTTATATGTTGTTTTCTTCTGTCCCTCTTGCCTTCAATCTGTCCTGTGAGTATCAAATTTTCCAAGCCCTCTTTCCTCATTATATGCCCTAGAAATTTCGACTATCTCTTCTCTTAATTACAAGAATTATTTTTGTTTCCACTTTCTCTAAAACTTGTTTGCACCATTGAATTCTCAGTATCCTTCTGTAGAACCACATTTCTGCTGCTTCAGGTCACTTCTTCATTTGTGAGGAGATTGTCCAACATTCACTGCCCTATAGGAGGACTAACATTACACAACCGTCTAAATTTATTTCAAAATTCTTGGCATGGATATTGCACACACACACACACACACACACACACACACACACACACATATATATATATATATATATATATATATATATGTGTGTGTGTGTGTGTGTGTGTGTGTGTGAAAATATATAGAAAATAGGAAGGAACTAGTTAGGTAAATAGACCAAAGTCCCTTAGTATTTTAGTTATTATTTTTAAAAAATAGTGCTCGATACAAAAGTAGAGCATAAATATAATTATTTATTTAAAAATATGATTCCAAATCGCGACATAAGAAGTCCCATGTTTCAAAACAAGAGCTGAAAACTTCAATATAATTATTTAAATTAAATTGAGTTAAAATAAGTTAAAATAAGCTCTGTTCCATCTTCAAGCGAAATTTTTTTTTTTTTTAATTTCGCGTTGGTTATAACAAGCCCTAGTGCCTATAGCTATATCAATTTATGAAGTACTTTATAACTAAATACAATACCCCAAATATACGCTGGTATAAAATACCATCTCAATCCGAATTATAGGCGTTAGAAGGCGATGACTGAGGGTCAATCTGTTCGAAGAGATCTAGACTTAGATATGGCTGTAAACATACCAGTTTGTACACTTATTTGGGACGTGCAATAAATGGTTTAACGGGTACTCACAGACTCTCTTAAATATAAGTATACTGGTTTGTGTAGCCTTGACGTGTCAATGTCGGACTTCGAGTTGGGTGAGGAGCACAGGCAGTGAAGCTTAATACACAAAAATTATGAATAATCAAAATAAAAAAATACCCCAAAGATGTCTTTCAGACTCTGATTCTGAAAAATAAATTAATACGAAATTTCGAAGATTTTTTTTGTCCTCGCATCCGTAGAAGAAACTCCGCTTGCAAAACTTTCCCCTTTCTTGATTGAAAAGGTACTATCCAATAGGATTAATTCTAAAACAGTTAGAAAGTTGAGAGATGACAATTTGCTGGTTAAAGTACAAAATAGGAAACACGCAGAAAATATAATAAAGCTAAAGACTTTTCATAATATCAAAATTAAAACCATCCCAAGACTGAATATTTCTAAGGGAGTCATTAGAAGTAAAGAGTTGTCTCTGGCTACACCTGAGGAAATTACATCTGCCTTAGGAAGCCAAGGGGTCAGTGATTACCATATAATCTCAATTAAAAGAAAAGGGGAAACAATTATAACTGACACATATTCCTTACTTTTGACATACTTGAAATTCCAACAACAATAAAAAATAGGGTATAATATTGAGTCAGTGGAATTATATATCCCTGCTCCACAAAGATGTTCCAGGTGCCAAAAATTTGGACATCATAAGGCTAACTGCAGGAGTCGCCCAACATATGAAAAATGTGACCAAAGGGATTTAGATCATACTTAAGAAGATTGCTACGATGAAATAAAATGTTCTAACAGCCAGGAAAGCCATCCAGTATACTCAAAAATATGCGATTTCTGGAAAAAGGAAAAGGAACTTGTCGAAGTAGAATATAAAAGAAACATTTCATTTTCAGAAGCAAGACAAGTAATAGTAAGGTTACGCAAAAATAACGGAAAATAAGATTACAAATAATGCCAGCCAGGCTGACAAATAAAGAGCCTTCACTGAGAAGCTCGTACACTTGGAAGCAAATGATTGGTCCAAATTTCAAACTTACCTAAAAAGTCTATATTCAAAGGAAATGGTGCAGGCTGAACAGCAAAAGAAGGGCAATGAAAAACTAAAATAATAAATAAAGAAAAAAAAATTAGTAAATCGACAGCTCAAACACAAACATCTCCTACCAAAAATACCAAATCTCCTACTAAACAAAGGTCACAGCGATCTCCTATCCGTCTACAAAAACCCAGGAAAAAAAGACTGAAAAGCTTATCTCCCAAATGAACAGAATCAGCCAAACAAAAGTCGGAAATCCACAACAACCAAATTCCTACGGAAATCTGATTTGATGAACTAGAAAAGATGGAGGTGGAAATCCTGAACCCTCAAAAAGCTAAAACCTCCTAAATGAAACCTGGGAAAAAAGAAATCCAAAGCACATAAGCTAAAGTCCGAAAAGGTTTAAACAGCTATGCATAAGATAATTCAATGGAACTGCCATGGAAATCTAAATGAACTGCTTCTATTAATAACAGACCTGTCATGGCAGTTGTTTGCCTTCAGGGAATATTCCTTAGATATGGTGATAATATAAAAGAATACCAGCAATAAAACCATATACATGACACTGGGCTTCGTGCATCTAGAGGTACATCTATCCTAGTTAGGTATGATGTATCCCAAAGTAAAAAAAAAAAAATGTTGTTAAAGTGGCTCTATACAGGCCAATTGCTCGGTATATATCCCACCTAATGAACGAGTAAATGAAGCCGAAATTCATGAAATTATAAGGCATCTCCCTGCACCCTTTTCTGATACTAGGGGACATTAACTGTGACATCTCTATATGGGGCTGTAAAGATACAAACCAAAATGGGAAGGACTTTAGAAACAATTATAAACAATTATTTATATATTTATAACGATAAAACTTCGACTTACATAAATCTATTTAATATATGGATTTCTCTTGGAAGGTTTTGGCGGGCATATACGGTGATGTTCACTTGCCAATTGTTCTATAATTATAATGATAAAAATCCTCTCCATTAGAAATTAGGTGGAGTGAACTGGGACGAAGTTAAAAACAAATGTCCTGATAAAGTAGTTGAAGGTAAATGCATGAAGGACTTAAAACAGTTTACGGAAATTCTTATATCTCAAGGACACATGGCACAGTGGATAAAGGCGTTGGTTAGATCCAGTGACAGAACCCAAAGAGTGTGAGTTCAATACCCGGAAAGAAAAAAGGGAAAATTAACAGGAGATAACTGATAACTGACATCCATTAAACATGGCACGCGGAACTAGAACAGTCTACCCCAGTGTGCGAAATAAAGGGTTCAGTTCGACATTCCAACCACCTGAAGAAGGCCGGAACGTACAACGTCCGACACGTTGTAATAAATATGGCGAGAAAGATGGGGACAATAGCCCGAATAATGTAAATAATCCTTATACCTATTGCAAAGAAATGCATTCCAAAACGTTCAGTACAAAATAAAACCTAAAAGACATTAGTTCAACGATGAGTGTAAGGAAGCTATCAGGCCCAGAGGAAGAGCCTTGAGAGATTTCAACAAAAGGCCTTTAATTTGTTACAATTCAAGCAACTTCGAGCAAAGGCACGGAAAATAATAAAAGAAAGCAAAAAAGAATGTTGGAAAACTGCATCAGCAGACTTAATTCTACTACAAAAACAAAATCTGTATAAGATATGATAAGGAAAATAGCTGGTAAACATTATTTTAAGGCTATAAAATATCTCTCGATAAACAACAGCAAAAAGGATATCGTTGATCAATTAGCCAAAACAATCTCCAAAAACACATCTGCCAAGAATGGTAGCCAACAATTTCTGAAGGTCAAACAAAAAAAAAGGAAAAGCAAAAATGAAACTTAAATCAAATAATTCAGAGAGTAATAACCTACCATTCACTATAGAGAAACTAAATTAATCTTTAACGAAAGCCCACACTACATCTGTGGGACTGGATGGTATCCA